CCATAGTTAGAGGATCAAGAGAGAGGTGGGAGTGCGACACGTTACATATAATTGTTTTGTGAACACCCCCACGCAGCTACTTTGAGCTTTCGCTTCCTAGTGTCCATTTAATAACCTACAGAAACTCAGCCCATACAAATTTCTAGTCTGCCAAAATAACACAGGTTTTATTTTAATAAAGGATTTTGTATTGGGCCGATGGTGGCCGTAAACTGTGTCCAGCTTGACAAATCTCTTTTTTGTATGTGAGCCTCCCTATAAAGTGCAAAAACGCGAGCGTTAGCACATCCTTGCTATTTTGAAGCATGTTTTGCAACTTGTGTGAAAACCGCACCGTCAAATAATAAAAAATGGCTGAGGTATGGGCACTCGACGATGTGGCCGTATCATTTTGTCCAGGAGTGTAAATGTTATTAATATTAAACATGTACCAGTGTACAAGTATTAGTAGACCAGGGTACAGTTTTTTTTTTTACCTAACAGCGCTCCTGTCCCCGTATTAATAAAAAGTAATACTGGTTACATGTAAAAGCCCTCTATTTTCTTAGAAAGCAGCCCAGAAAAGCGTGTGGCTGGTCTATTTCAAACGGAGGTGGGCCAATTTCTTCGTCCAAGTATCACGATTCAGTAGGCACCTTTCGAAGCCTGTGTTGTTGTGGGATGTGGAATAGTTGTATCTCACATCACACAAATCATAAACAACAGAAATTTTGTTTCGAATTGGCTCGTATGTTGGTTATGGGAGTGCCTACACTCGCCCCAGTTTTCAGAAGTCCCCCTCAATAAGCGTAGGTGTGGTATAATTAGTTTGCATAGGGAATTATCAGCTCTCTTGTGATTTATCAAATGTTTCCGCAATCCATTTGATCCGATGTGAAGGGGTATACGAAGTACAAGCTGCGCTTATTCAGGGGGGACACATTCCTTTATCAAAAGGCGCCTGTAATTTGAAAGACAGGAATACACACCAATTTATTAAAGCTTCGCCTTCCAATTTACCTAGGTGTTGCATGTAGCACAACATCTGAAGGCGTCAAGTATCACAAGGCTATTCATAGTTTCTCTCGTTTTTTAATAGCAAGGGCCGAATTGTACGAGTAGAGTAAGAAAACACATTCAGGATATTCACATTTTATAGCACCGCATTTTTGGTGGTGCTTGAAAGGCAGCTACGGTACTTTTTAGATAAATGTATGAAGAAAGAGCTCTCCCGTACATGGAGATTTAAAACGTGATCCGGGCAACTCGCACGGCCCAACGCTCAGCACTGCACCGCCAGCCACTGCTGTCCCACCACCTGTGCCGTGCTGTGTACAGTACTACACAGTGGAGGCTACACTGTAGCCTCAGTTCAGGGCCGCGCCGCCCGCTGCGACAGAGCCAAGGCGCAAAAATCTGAAAGCACTGCGATCGTCAATAATTAAAAAAGATGAACTAAATTTTGCATTGTATTAATTAACACGGGCTCCTATATAATATATATATATATATGAGCGCTCTGGCGATTTATTGGATATTACAAGTATTATTGTTTTGCAAAGCTTTTGTCGTTTATCACTGTTCGAATTTTTATAAACTGAGGTCATTTTATATACGATTTTATAAAAAGGATCGGCTAATAAATCGAGCCAAATCAAGCGCTGTGAGAACAAAACAACGTGTTGATGTTAACCAAAGGGTCCAGCAGTACAATTAACCCTTATCAATTTACCCTTTTCATTTTAATTCGTTTTACATCTAAATAATTAATGTCGTCTTTGTTTGGCAGTGTGTAAGTTTTTTTGTGGTACGCCGAGAACGAAAACGGCCAGTCAATTTTAATGACGACCCAGCGCGTGGTGCAGACCCGGGATGGGATCGATGTGTCGTCGCTGGACGAGCGGCAGTTCAAGTGTCTGACGCTGCCGAATGCTCTGCATGTGTTGGTGGTGTCCGACCCGGGTACAGAGACGGCTTCGGCCGCCATGGACGTGCGCGTGGGATTCCACTCGGACCCCGATGATATCCCGGGCCTAGCGCATTTCTGTGAGCACATGCTCTTCCTGGGCACGGCCAAGTATCCAGACGAGAACAGCTACAGCGTGTTTCTGAACGCACACGGTGGTAGCAGCAATGCCTTCACATCTGGACGCGACACTAATTTCTACTTCGACGTGGGGGCAGCGCATCTACATGAGGCACTGGATCGTTTTGCGCAGTTCTTCATTGCACCGCTTTTCACGGCCAGCGCCACGGAGCGAGAAATGAATGCAGTGGACTCGGAGAGTACCAATTACCTACAGGACGATAGCTGGCGTATTAATCAGCTAGAACGCGGCCTGGGCAACCATCAACACCCATACCACAAGTTTGGAGTAGGCAACAAGAAGACGCTCAGTGTCACGCCTGTGGAGAAAGGGATCGATGTGCGGGAGGCACTCCCAAAATTCTACCAGGAATTCTACTCGGCCAGTATCATGAAGCTCGTTGTCTACGGTAAGGAAGACGTCGAGACACTGAGCAAATGGGTGCTTGAGTTCTTTACTGAAATTCCCAACTCGGGGAGGGAAAGCCCCGCGTTTGATGGAGAACCGCCCTACACTGTAGATCAGTTGGCCAGAAGATTGGAAGTAGTCCCAGTCATGGACTGGAAGGTTGTCCAAGCGTCGTGGGTGTTGCCCTCGTTGCGTGGCAAAGGGTTTCCCCAGCAGCACGCGTCGGTGCTGAGTCATCTCATCGGGCATGAAGGACAAGGCTCATTACTTTCCTACCTCAAGAAGAGAAAGTGGGCAAACAGCGTCTATGCAGGAATCGTTGAAGATTACGACGAATTCTCACTCTTTGTAGTGGGCTTCGACGTGACGGACGACGGCATCGAACACGCTGACGATGTCCTGAAGGCCATGTTCCAATACATCAACTTGATGCTAGCGTCCTCGTGGGAAAAGTGGATGTTTGACGAGTTGGAAATCATGTCCAAGACGCACTACATGTTTCAGAGCAAGAACCCTCCTGCTGACTTCACGAGTGTCGTCGCCGCGAACATGCACATCTACCCGAAGCGTGACATCATTTCAGAAGGAGTTCTATACTTCCCTTACGAATGGGAGCAGGCTTTTGAGCTTCTAAAGCTAATGAATCCCGAGAATTTGAGAGTGCTTGTTGCGTGCCAAACATTCGAAGAGCGTACAACGACCGAAGAGAAATGGTACGGCACGAAGTACCGAGAAATGCCGCTATCCCAGGAGTTTATGGAAGAGATGGCAAATCCGGAAAATAATTGTGCGCTACGTCTGCCGTATCCGAATGCTTTCGTGGTGACAGACTTGAATATTGTGGGCGAGAACACCGTGGATACCCAACACCAGCACCCGCGACTCATTCGTGATGACGATTTTTGTCGCGTATGGTACAAACCTGATGTGAAGTTTAAGAAACCCCGGACATTTGCTGTCGCGACATTCCACTCACCGGAAGTGAATCCTACTCCGTACAACTACGCGCTTTCGGCGCTTTTTGTTGCATGTCTGAAAGATGAGCTGAATGAATATTCATACGACGCTCTATTGGCCGGTATGAACTACAAATTGCGTCTCAATGGAAGCAATATCTACTTGAGTACTGGAGGGTACAGCTCGAAGTTACCCATACTGGTTCAGCGGATCCTGGAAGTCATGGGTAACTTTGAAAGCCACATTGGGGACGAGGCATTTGAACGTGTGAAGCACGCCAAGTGCCGATCCTTTGAGAACATGCGCCTGGAGGAAGCGCACCGCCACGCAGTCCAGCTAGAGTCGAACTTGCTGCATGAACGAAGCTGGAGCGTAGACGACATCGTTAGTGCGATCCGGACCTGCTCATTTCGTGACGTCATAGCACACTCGAAGCGTCTGTTTCGACAAGTCTTCTGTGACATCCTCCTGTATGGCAACTTAAACTTGTATGCAGCGATGGATCTTGCGGGGGTCATCGTGGATCAAGTTCGCGCATCTCGAGCTCTATCCATGCCGTCGTCGAAGAAGTACTGGATTGGGCGACAGGTTAAGCTTTCCTGTGGAGTGCACGTCGTCTACAAACATGTTCACCCCAACCCAGACAACGCGAATTGCGCCGTGAACTGCATCTACCAGATTGGCGCGGAAAACTACATGGACCGCGCTAAGTTGGCTTTGTTCTGTCAAATTGTTGACGAGCCGCTTTTCGACCAGCTGCGCACAAAAGAACAGCTTGGATACACTGTGTATTCGACCCCCTCCCGTGGGAATGGCGTGCAGTCGTTTAAGATTGTGGTGCAATCTAATGTCGCCCCACCGGAATTCATTGAGCAACGAATTGACTCGTTCTGGTGTGATTTCCGCAATACCTTGACGAGTATGCGCTTGGATCAATTGCAGAAGCACATTCAGTCCGTCGTCAAGGGCTACATTGAAAAACCCAAGAGCCAGGAGGAGGAGGTGCAAGCTCTACTCGTCGAGATTGCGAATCACCAGTACGAATTTGGTCGCAAGATGAATTTGGCGGAAGTGGTGCGTACGTTGCAACTCGCTGATGTGCTCGAGTTCTTCGACGACTTCGTTCACCCTGGAGGTTCACAACGAAAGAAACTGAGTGTGCACATATACGGGAACGAGACTCGCCTCGAGAAGCTAGCAGATTGCTCTGAAACTGGCTGGTCCACCTTCAATACAGAAAGCCAAGCTGGTCTCATGGCTGCTATGGCTCTCGGCGCATCTTCTTTCGGATCATCTGACGCGAAGACTGAGTACATCAAAGACTCGGAAGAGTTCAAGCGTCGAACACCATGCTACGAGGTACAAGTCACGTCTCTAGAGAATCAACTGTAGTATTCTAGTTGGTTAGACACAATAAGCCGTTAGCCATCAGCAACATCTAACGTTGCAGCATTGCTAAGCAGCCGCCTTCCTTCGCTAGCGCATAAAAAACTCCGCTCGTGTTCTTCACCAGCTCCCGAGGGCTATCGAACTCCACCACCCGACCGTCACTGCGGGATGATGGACAGATTCGACCGCAGCGTGCGTAGTGGCATGGTGGCAATATCGACGCCATCGATAAGAATGCGGCCTGACACCAACTCATTGATTCGGAAGAGTGCCATGGTGAGGCTGGACTTGCCGGCGCCGGTACGTCCAACAATACCGATCTTCTCGTTGGTTTGGATGCTGAAGGAAATGCTCTTCAGCACGGGTTTCCCACCTGGCTTGTAGCTGAAGACGACGTCTTGGAACTGGACAGTGGAAGATCGAGGCCATGATGCATCAGGTTCGATAACTAGTGGTCGCTGGCTCCCTTCGGCTGGAATGGCCCCGTACTCGAGAATTCGTTCGGGGCCCACCATTTGGATTTCCAACCATGACCACGACATGAAAAGACTTGCAAGACTGCCATCCACACTCAGAGCATACGTGAACGCCAATCCAATGAGGCCTGGTGTCAAAAAATTGTGCAGATAAACGAGGCTGGAGACTACAAGAGTCACAACACCAAACCCAACAAGTTGCATGCGCAACTGGAACCAGTACTTCAACACCATTTGGGCGAACCATGCTTGGCAGTTCACGTCGTTGCGGCGAAAGTTCTCTTCGACCATGCGCTCCACCGTTTCTTGTCCAAAGGCACGAATGACAGCAACGCCTTCTTCAGACTGACTCACGTAGCTCAAAATGGGTGACGCAGATATTCTCCACAGACGGGCAAGCTCTTTCGATGGGGCCAAGTAATGGTTCCCAATTTTCACGTAGATCCACACCAGCGGGATGATCAGTACACCCAGAGCTTTTATCATGTATACAGCCGTCGCCAGTTGGCATGCTGTGAAGAAAAGGAGCCCAAGAACTTCCTGGAAGGAAAATGATAGCATGAAGTCAATTGCAGAGATATCGTCTCCGTACCGATTCAATATGCGACCAATTGGGTTCGCGTCGAAGAAACGTAGCGGGGCTTTAAGCAGAGACATCGTCATGGTGTCAAAGAGATGGCGTGATGCTCGCAGTCCAATTACCGCCACTGTTCCCGCTCGCACTAAGACCATGACTGCCGTCCCAACACCAAGCATGTCATACACCGTCACATTATACACCGTCTCGTCCGAGTAGTATTTCTGCCCAGTCCAACGACTTAACCAAAGATCGCTGCCAATCTGGAACGCCTGCCGTAGCATCTGCACCACGAACAGGAATATGCACACCTTTAAGCCACCAAGCGAGTCAAAGTACTTGAGGAATACGTCCTTCGAAACACGGCCTTCCACGCGTTCCTCCTCGTCGATGAACCGACCAGCGGTTTTGTCCTGGATGTCTCCATCATCATCCTTGGTAGAACGCGGTGACACTGGCAATGTGTACGAAGTACGTGGCAGGTCGACGTTGTTCCGAGTGTCTTTCACGTTGCCATCCTCCACCAGCACTTTCATGTTGGCAGCCTCATTCGCAATGATGTCAGGACTGTGCGTCACTAAGACGACGGTCTTCTCCGCCAGTAAGTTGCAGATGCAGTCACCGAAAATTTGACTCTGCACGATCGCATCGACAGCCGCCAGTGGGGAGTCGAGCAAGAAGATGTCAGCATCTGAGTAGCACGCACGAGCAAGACAAACACGCGCCTTCTGACCACCAGACAAGTTGACTCCCTTTTGCCCGATCTCCGTCAAGTCACCACCAGGGAATTGCTTTAGGTCTGGAAATAGGCCACACGCCGCGATCGCTTTAGCGTACTTATTGCTGTGATATGGCAGACCGAACAGGATGTTGTCACGGATCGTCATGTTCTGGATCCATGTCTGCTGTGAATAGTAGGCGACACGACCTCGTACGAACACGTTACCGGCCAGCTTGTCCATTTCGCCCAACAAAGCGGAGCATAGGGATGACTTGCCACTACCGACCGAGCCGTGCACGATCACCAGGTCTCCCTGCTTTACAGCGAGGTCGACGTGGCTGAGCAACGGAGTATCCTTGGTCCACCCGAAAATGCCGTCTTTGATTGCCATTACAACGTCGTCATGTTGCTTCGGGTCACTTCGGCTCACGTTTGCTGGATTGAATTCTTCTAGCGACAGGTAGTCAGAGAAGCGGTCGATCGAAATCTTGGCTTGAATGAACATCTGGATGACTGTGGGTAAGTCCCGAAGTGGGTCTCGAAGCGTATTGTAAAGAGCGATGGCTGTGAACACTTTGGCAGCAGTTAGCTCGTTTCCCATAACTATCGCGTAAACGGCAAATGACACAGCCGACACTGCTAGTGGCGAGGACCAGAGGATAGTAATGTTGACGGCACCTAGATAGAGAAACCGCTTGACAGCCGACAACTCAACGGAGCGGAAACTGCGGATCTTTTTTGCAAATTTGCCTTCCCAAGCATTGAGTTTCACGACCTGGATAGCATTAAACACCTCCTTGACGACGCTTAGTCGTTCGTCTTTGCGCTGCATGAGATCGGCAAAGGCAGCCCCAGAAAACCTAGCCAGCAAATAACTAGCCAGCATCGACACCGCAATGACTGCAAGTCCAGCAAATGCAGCGAGATCAATCACGGCGTAAAGCATCCACACGGCCACGACGATCTGGATGGGGATCACCCAGAGTTTGTTAACTTGAAAGGTCGCCCACAGCACATTGTTGACGTCCGAGGTTAGCAAGTTGGCGATGTCCACCGTACTGGAATTGTTCTTTGTCCGAAGACTCCGCCGCATTGCCTTCTGGAAGAGCAGCGTTTTGAGCGTCACTGTGAGACGCAGAGCAATTAGCTCCAGTGCGTAGTTCATTTGTACGGACAGAATGGCGTTGGCAAATCGCGAGGCGAAGAAGATGCCGAGCCATCCGCTGAGGTCGTTCATGTCGATCTCAACCGTCGAGAGCGCGTCTATCGCGTGGTTCAGAACCACAGGAGCGAAGAGGCCGCACGCCGTAGAGAAGAACATCGCCAGTCCCCACAAAAGGAATTCACGGCCGTAAGCGCTCGCCATTGCTCTGGTAATGGACCTGTCGTGTCGCTCGTAGTGAGCACCAAATTCGTCCAACGCCGTAGCCGCTCGGTTCTTTCCTTCCAGTTCCCAGAGATCCTCCAAGTTTAACTGACGCTGGTTGCCAGCGTCCATCATTGGGTTGGCGTAGGAGAAGAAGAGTTTCGACCAGAAGGACGCTGTGGCCGGTGTAGTAGCCTCAGCGTCATAACCCCTCTGCTTGGCCTCATCTACATTATTGGTAAAGGTGGCGTACTGGCGTGGTTTCGTCCTGGTGATTGGCGACATGGCGGACTGTTACAGCGCCGTCATCTCCTCCAGCTCGCTCGCACTTTTCACGGTTAATGGGGGAATAAGTGGCGGGGCATCGCGCAGGTCTAACACGGTACTGGCTTCTTTGCACCAACGGCCGCCCGCGCGAAATGAAGTGGAGGCGTGTGGCGCTAGTCGCGCTGATTGGCTACGCCTTGATACTGACTAAACTAATTCTGCAAGTAGTCACAAGCCGTGCTGTTATTAACCCCTCCACTATGACTGGAGCCTCGACGTATGCGGACTGTTGAGCCGCATACGTCGAGGCGATGGGGTTCCCGCAGGAAAAGGCAGTGCAAGTATGGTGTGACAGTAAGGCGGCCATTAGTACAGTAAAGAATCCTGGGAATCACAAAGCTACGAAACATATCGAAATTGACTCTCACTACCGATCTTGAGTCAGTGGCAAGACGAAATTCAGAAATCTCAACAAGAGGAGCGAGAATTAAATCTGGAAAGCTCACAAGCCACCAGCACTGTAGGAGATTCCGACTCGTCTTATAACCCATCGAGTGAAGCTCCGTCCCAGGAAGAACAGCAAGCCATCAGACAAGGATTAAGGGTGTCCGCTCGCCCTGGAAAACAAACCAAACGACCGCATACATTGACCCCGATGGAAGCGGAAAGAATACGGGGTCAGTTGAAAACAAAACGGGAACATCAAAAGGTAGCAATGACAGCTGAGCCAATGGACATAGTCAGCACTACGGGGGAAAAACTATCTCCACAGGAGACAACGTGTGACGGGGTCACACAGCACCTTGCGCTAGAGGAAGTTATCTTCCGAGAGTATACAAACTCTCAGTGAACGGCAGTTCACAGGTCCCCTCTTTAATTAAAGAGAGCGAAGTGACCTAAATAAGGTAGATTGTAAACTGAGTATATTTATAGGTAGGTTAAGTTTGAGGTTAATACAAACTATCAGTTACCTATAGTAATGCAATGTCATTTAACCAATGGTTGGTTTTGAATGACCTTGGTACCTTGTACCAAATATCCCGGAGTATGACATGTCATACTCCTGAAGTGTGAAGTGTCACACTTCATGTAACCAGGGTACACTTAGTGCTACGTACCCCGTTACATCCTCCCCCACTTAGGTTCGGTTTACCGACCAATCAGAATGAAGAGATGTTCGTCACAAACTCTCATTCTCAAAGTCGAAAACCATCGACTCGGCCGCGCGAGCGCGGCGGAGGCTCACTTTACAGTTAGAGCCTCGAGCAGCAACCTGTGCGCTCTTCGTCAAGGTCTCCACTTCGACCGTTAACATGCCTCGTGGCACTGCTAAGAGCGGTGCTAAGACACGCTCCAAGGCTGCAGCCGGTAAGGCGCAGGCCAAGAGCACTAAGCCTCACGGCAAAGGCTCTGCACTCAAGGAGGCTACTCAGGTGGCCTCCGAGGCGATCGGATCCTCGGGTGACGCGGCTGCGGACAAGCGCGCAAGCAGGCGCCGCAGTCCGTCGCCCTCGTCTTCAGACAATCGTCCGAACCCTCGGTTCGTAGAACATGAGTTCAACTCGGGCAGTGAGGACGATGCCGAGTTCGAGAGCACCCATGATGCTCCTGCGGGCTCTGTGGGAGGGCACAGCCCAGTGCCCAGTGAGCACAAAGAAGACAGCGTGCAGTCGTCCGCTAGTGATCACGGTGATCACAGTCCCAGGACCTCTGTGCGCTCTGAGAGTCCGGCCGTTAAGGCTAAGGGCACTCCCAAAGCCGGTGGCGATGAGGAAGGGAGTCCTCGCAAACGTCTCTCGCTTGCCGAGGGTCTTGCGCGCGCTAAGGCCTCTAAAGCCGAAGGCGCCAAGCCCTCAAAGAAGCGTACCGCCTCTAAGTCTCCACTCCGCGAGGAGAAGGAGACTCGACGCTCCTATCAGAGTCTCTTCGACTCCTCGGATGAAGAGGATGAGAAGGAGGAAGAAGAGGAAGAGGAGGGTGCCATTGTTGAGCCCCGGGAGGTCTCGAATGACCTCGAACAGCAGCAGGAGGATTTCCAAGCTGCCCAGCGTGTGCGTGGGGGTTCGGTGGCGGCACCCGTCAACCAGGGAGCTGCCATCAACTCAAGAGGGTATTGGCCTCCCGAGGAGAGCTCTGGGGCTGACCTCTTCTTAGAGCTTCTCGTCGCTCCTCGTGGCCTTGTGGGCGGCCACACTTCTAGGGGCATCTATGAACGAGCCCTTGTTCAGAAAGAACAGTTGTTCGTCGACAACGTGGAGGCTGCTCGGTGTGTGCTTCTCGCGCCACACCGCATTCCCCTTAAGGACTTCACGACTTGTCGTAAGAAGCCCGAGACCCGGGGTGGTCTCTATCCTGTTTGGGGATACCCCTGGGTTATGCCCGAGAACTGTCCCACATGGAGTTCTTGTGAGGACATGTTCTGGGCGTGGGTGGAGACTCTCAAGTACTCGCCCACGGAGTTATGGGAACTCCATGAAGATCAGCAGCTGTCCCACATCCTGGACCAGCGTGATCTTCGTGTGAGGTTTGCCCACTTGATCAGCAAGCGTATGCTGCCAAGGGACATCCTGAAGCGCGCGGCTTCTAGCGCTCACGATGAGCGCGGGTACGGTATGTATTCATCATCCGTACCCCGTTCGGGCAAGAAGCCCCGGACTACTTATGAAGCTGCCGCCGCTTCTGTTCCCAGATTGCGACAGCCTTCGGGCAGTCAATCAGGAGCCGTTCAATCGGCTCCCACGAGTTCTCGGAGTGGGCATAACCCCTCCACTTCACGAGGAGCTGTCGCTTCCCGCGACACCGTTGCTCCTGGAGGATCCGCTCCACGTGGAAGTGGACTTCTCCATTCCGGTCAAGCAGGGGCGGAGGTGCCCTCGTACGAGTACGAGTACTCAGCGCCTCCCGAGAGCCACTCTCGTTCGAGTGCTCCGACTGCGGGTCCGACACGGGACCCTGAGGTTGACCGCCTCCGTCAACGTCTCCTCGTGCTTGAGATTGCACTTGGCCTTGGGACTGGCGGTAATGCTGCCGCCCAGGCCGGGAATCAGGGCGAGCTCGCTCGTCTTGCGGGTCGCCTGGACCTGGTGGAGCGAGAGGTCGCGAGCCTGCACCTGCGGGTGGACCGCCGGGCCTCTTCGTCCGATCTGGACGAGGCCTTTCGCATGATCCGACGGATCGAGGCTTTGTTGCCACGTCCGGAGCCGCCTGCGGCACACTCCCAGACGTACGCGTATGGTGCGTACCCGGCGTACTCAGCGTACTCGGCGTATGGCGCCGGGGTCCGTTCGTATGGAGCCCCTCCGGCGTACGGTCTTGACCGCAGCCTTGCCGTCCCGACCGAGGCTTGGGTGCCTGCTCCGACGCCCTCGTCGACGACTGTGACCGGCCCTCGCTTCGAGGAGCTGGGTCAAGGGGGGTCTGCGAGTCAGCAACCTCCTGCGGGTCAAAGTACCGCTTAAGACGTCCGACATAGAACGTCGGGTGCGTCGTCATTGACTTTGGAAGGTCGATGGTGTACGACGCACCATGTCTGGCCAGGACTGCAAAAGGTCCGATGAAGCGGTGCTTCAGCTTGTTGCTGCCGACAGAGCTAACAGTGTCTAGAGGTAGGTTCCTCGTGTCTAGTAACACTAAGTCACCAATCTCAAATATACTTAAGTTTCCTCTTCCTTGTTTGTCCGAGTACTCCTTTTGTTTATCTTGGGCCGCTGCCATGGCATCGCGGACCCTGCTGACAATGTTCAGCTTGGTATCCATAAAGGATTCCACCTGTTTCCGCAGCGAAACTGGCCTCACATCCGAGACCTGGGAGGAAAGGGCTTTCCGAGCCTCTCCCCCACTTAGAATAGAGGAGTCAGTGTTTCCTCGAAGAGTGAGAGGCACTCTGGGGTGGCGGAAGCCGTTCAAGTAGAACGACGTGAACCCCGTGGACGCGTGCACCGCGTTGTTGAGCGCAAACTCAACAACTGGAAGCTGCGTCGACCACGTACGTGGCGCTGCCGCGCACACACTGCGCAGAGTGTCCTCGAGCACTCGATTGACGCGCTCTGTTTGGCCGTCTGTCTGCGGATGATCCGCAGTGGACATCTGCAGACGAGTTCCCAGTAAAGGGAACAGCGTTTTCCAAAACGCAGCAGTGAACCGCGGGTCTCGGTCCGAGACAATCGTCTCCGGGAGACCGTGATAGCGGAACACGCCATCGACGAACAACCTTGCGGTTTGTTCGCCCGTCACAGTGACGGGAACTGGAGCAAGATGTACCATCTTGCTCAGCCGACACACGAACACCAAAATTCCGGTGTTGCCGTGTCCGTCGGCGGGAAGCCCAAAGATGAAGTCAAGACTCATCGACTTCCAACAATCAGCCGGTACGGGCAGGCTCTGTAATGGAGCCGAAGAGTGCCCTGCGGGTTTAACCCGCTGACATGTTTCACATGTCTTGACGTACCGGGCGACCCACTTGTACATGTGGGTCCACCAGAAGGACTGAGAGACCGACAGAAAGGTCTTCTCGCGGCCCAAGTGGCCGCTGAAGGGCGCGTCATGCGCCTCCGCGAGGATGTCGAACTTCAGATCCTCGTCGTTGGGTACAACCACCCGTGGAGGATCAGTGGGCTCTACCCGATAATAGAGGAGGCCCTCCTTCAACTCATATCGGTGGAGCCGTGAGCGCTGTCGCGACGAGAGCCAGTCGGACTTCGCGCTCGTTCCGGCCTTAAGGAACTTGACGATAGGCGCGACAGCCTCATCGTCCCGATACGCCATGCGTATCCGATCATATAGATCCGTTGTCACCCGCGTGATGTGGGCCAACTCATAGTCGGGACGCCTAGAGAGGGCGTCCGCAAGCACGTTGAGCTTGCCCGGCTTGTACTCGACGCGGAAGTTATATTCCGCGAAGAAGGACAGCCACCTCGCCATCCGTTGGGAGAGGTGAGGCGAGTTAGTCGCCGTCCTCAAGGACGCGTGGTCTGTGTAGATCACAAAGGGCGTAGAGCCCAGAAGGTGAACACGGAACT